TTATCATTCACACGAGTGAAAATGATAATGTCATCCGCGTAAGAAAGGGAAAAATGGAAGGCACACAACCACGCGTGCTGTAGGTCATCCTCGGAAAATCGCGAATGAAGCCATCAAGGCAGCGAGAGAGATAGTCAGCCACCAGAACAAAAAGAGAGGGGGATAAAGGGTCCCCTTGACGAAGGCCGCGGGTAGAGGGGAAAAAGGTCGTGGGGCTACCATTAATCAAAACGGAGAATGTGCAACGTTCCACACACGCCTCCACAAAGCTAATCCAACGGTTAGGGAATCCCATCCGAGCCAGTACCTCTCTGAGAAACGACCACTCGACCCTATCATATGCTTTGGCCATGTCTAGCTTCAGCACGAGGTTCGGGGTTCGTGTTCGATTCGCATGAGAGATGTCGTGTATCATCTCCTGGGCCAGTAGGATATTATCACTAATGGCTCGATCCTTGATGAATCCACTCTGATTCGGAGAGACAAGGTGGGGGAGGAGGGGGGCGAGATGATTGTTGAGGATTCTAGAAATAATCTTGTTAGTCACGTTGCATAAGCTGATAGGTCTATAGTCAGACCAAGTGCTAGGTCCCGATCTCTTCGGGATCAAAATGATGGAGGTTGCCGTGAAGGACTCTGGTATCTGGTGGCCATAGAAAAAATCCCTCACAGCTTCCTCTACGTCAGTACCCACAATCTCCCAGCAAGACTGGAAGAAGAGGGACGAAAAACCATCCGGTCCAGAGACGCTGTTGGGATCAATCCCAAACACAGCCTCCCTGACTTCCTCCTTACTCGGGAGGTCACAGAGGTCAACAAGGTCGACCGACTGCGGGATGGTCGGAAAGAGGGTCGGGTCAGGGTGCGTAAGCAAATCTCGCTCAGAGGAAAAGAGAGAGAGGAAGTAAGCCCTAGCTGACTCCCGTATATGGGACTCCTGGGTCACTGATGACCGGTTATCCTCGACACTATGGATATACGACTTGACTCGCTTTTGCCTCACGAATCCCTGGAAGAACTTGGTATTACGCTCCCTCTCAGCCACCCAATGCACAGCAGCCTTCTGCTTCTAGAAATCTTCCTCCATGAGGAGGCGCAACTGGTACTCAACATGGCATCGGCGCATCTCGGACCTATTCTCTGGCGAAGAATCCAAATCATAGGTCCGTTCCGCCTCCGCATATGCAGTCTGAGCTGCAGTAAGGCACTGAGAAATGTCACCAAAAATCGTCCAATTCCACTGCTTCAAAACGCGGCGGAGTCTCTTGAGCTTCTCCTCCAGGTTGCGCATCCCATAGAGGTGCGTAGCCTGCTGCCAGGAGGCTCTAACTGTATCGTAGTAAGAATGGTGGCGGACCCACATGTTCTGTAAACGGAAGGACGCTCGCCGAGGGGAAATAGAGAACCGACAACGAATCAGAAGGGGGGCATGGTCGGATTCAATTCGAGGAAGGTGCGTCACAACCGTGGTAGAAAACACCCTCGTCCACGCCTCTGAGAAGAGAGCGCGGTCGAGCCGCTCCTTGACTCCGGCCCACTCCCACGTAAAGGGAGCCCCTTCGTAACCAGCGTCGATGAGCTCACAATCCGATACGGCATGCGAGAACTCTAAGATCTCAGCAGAGTGGTCCGATATACCACCCATGCGTTCATCGGGATGCAAGAATATGTTGAAATCACCGCTAATCATCTACGGTAGTCCCTCCATACTCTCAGCAATCTCACGCATGGTGTCCCAGAGGTCATAGCGACCAACCCTCGCACAGCTGGCATAAACTAAAGTGTGGAAGATCGGCTCCGGAAGATGGGCGGCGGTAAGCTTCATGTGCAAGACTTGATCAGTATCTCGAAGGATCTGACAAGTAAAGTCACGCGAGTGGAAAAACCAAATCTTGTTAGAGGTTTTTCCCATCCCGGCATGAAAACCGAGGCGCCACGAATATACGTCAAAAGAAGGGTCACGAGTCATAGGCTCTAAGAAAGCCGCAAAGTCAAGGTTATGCTCACGTATGAGAGATCTAACATGAGCAAGGGTGGTCCTATTAGCCAGACCACGGGCATTCCATGTAAGCGATGTGACTGACATGTCAAATGTCAGTGGGACCGCCTAACTGGAGCTGTCCGTGGTTAGGCTGTGTCTGTATGTCTGATAGGGTCAGAGCTCGGCTAGCAGATCTTCAAATAAATATATTTCAAACATGACAACATGGATCTTGACAGACCTTCCTCACACCAAGAGTAACTACACACATTGCAATGCTTTGATTAGTTTCTCTTATCAACCAAAAGTAACTCAAATTTTAATGCATCATTTATGCAAGGATTTCCAACAAAAGAAAGCGAATATTAACACAGAGAATAACACTGTTTATCAAGACCCATGCTCACTCACTCTACTGGGAATAGCTTATTACCCAACTATGTTAAGAGAAATTGTCAATAAGCACTCATATTTCGGAATTCAGAACCATCAATGTGATCATACCTATACGAATTAACATAACTGATATGTACATATGTGCTTTGATAAAATGATTACGCAATCTAGCAGCAAATATATAAAACAGTTCTCAGCAAGGAGAGGCATTAATATATACCTAAAATATAAAATCAGACATAGTTTACAGCACCAAAATGC